ATGTCACGGCAACAAGAGTTTCTAAAGAAACACACTGGGTCACACGGGCACGACACGTTATTTTCAACTGACAGACAGTAATCGGTGCAAGAGGCCGAAGATGTGTCTAAGGAAGTGTTTGCTCCAAAGAGAGCCCTTATAGTTTGGGAAGTGTTTTCTTCAAAGTCAACCCTACTTTGGTTTGTCGAGGTTTCCGAGTCCGACTCTCCGGTAGCCAGTGTTGGAGCAGCTTTGTGAATGTCATCATTGCTCGTTGATGGCAAGTTGTCAGCAACAGCCTGTCGTCGTTGTCTTTCTGGTAAATAAATCGAACCCTGTTCTACTAACCCAGTCCCTCTTACAAGTTTGAATGTGTTCACTTCTCTCTCCCATTCTCGGGTGTGGTAAAATTTCCCTAGCAGGCTGTACCAAATTGGGGCTGAGTTTTCTGTCTTTGAAAACGGGTCAGATTTAAAAGCAGTTCTCTTGGTGTCTGTAGGAACATGCTGACGCATGGTCATCTGTCTCGTATTATGGTCCTCATGTGGAGCAGTAATCTCTTGTTTAGGCATCGTAGAAAGAGCATGCATTGTGATTACAGACACATTCAAGATGCAAAACATAAGAACGACAATCATTTTGTCCCAAGATTATTTAAAAAATAAACTGAAGAGCCCAAATGACGTTTGATAGAGACGGGAATTTAATATGCGTTGTCGATTGCCACTTTCCCGCTGTGCATACTTCCTGGACTTGGTCTCATCAGCTCTTCAACTTTTCCCCCTCGAGGTTGGAGGGTGCCACTTTTAAGTCCTATTTATTTTCTTTCCCTAAGTGGTTTCTGTCTGTCTGTCTTGCTTGTTCCCCCCCCACAAAATGGCCTATATTGTATCAATGTGTTTCTTTTTTCTCACACTCAAGACAATCAAATTTGTTTTCCGAACTCTCCTTGGCAGATGAAAAAAAAGGAGCGACTGTTTTACTTAGGGTTTAACAAGCACTAAGGTCTTTGGCGTCAAAACGGCTACATATTCGAGATATTGTTGGCTATACCGGAGCTTTTACAAAGTTGGCAATATTACCTAACTAACTATTTTTTCATTGACGAAAACAGTTGTGTTTCGGGATTTGTTGTCCGTTATATATTCTCGGCGATTAGAATTGCTAAGAATTTCTACCACTCTGTGATGCTGGCACAAAGCCCCTTGCATCCGTGCGCGGCAGTGTGATTTATCCATCCTTTTAAGTGGTTTTAAATTCTATCGTCATTTTGGGAAATGCGATACTGTTTCTAAAGTAAAAGCCAGTGAAGGGATTATATAGGCTTTACAACTGCAAAAAGGTACGGCACGACCGCTGTAATGAGGTGACTGCAATGACATGTTCTTTGTGTTCTGGTCTGGTGTGAAACATGTCATCAGTAGGCATTAATTGCACCCACACTCACAGCGAAACTTTCCGGTGCACGAGAGTGCGTCAGGGTTACCATAGAAAGATTTCCGAGCTAACAATGAAATAGAGGGGCAGGATGATGATGATGATGATGATGAAGATGATGATGATGATGATGATGATGATGATGACGACGTACAGGAGGAGGAGAAGGAGGAGGATGAGGATGAGGAGGAGGAGGAGGAAGGCGTATTGATCCTAGCAATTTGATCCTCAATGAAATTTCTTTGTTAATACGCACGGTAGCTGAATATTATCTGTGTACATGTATTGCTATTCCTTTCACAC